GGGGGGGGGGAACGGTGATTTTGTGGCTTTGAATGGAGGGCAACAAAAAACTTTTACGCGGCTTCTTTTTTTTTCGATCTACTTAAAATTTGTCAGTTTTTATTCGTTACTTGAATTTTCATTGCTCAAAAAAGTTTGGGCAATAGTTCCGTGATTTTATCAGATATAATGTTTTTCCTTATTTTTTCAGGTGCTAAATAAATCGCAACATTCAGAACATACTACTCGATTTATTGGTTTTTATGCATTTTTGCATCTTTATTTGTTTTAGCAACTGATGAATGATAACGTCTTCCGGACAGATGATAATAATATACGGCTAGCATCTTCGGTTCCTGTAAGTTTGCTTTACAAAATTGTTGCAAATAAAACTTTCAAAACTTCCCGGCCTGTAATGTGAGAGCTCCATATTACTGATATTTTATTGAAATGTTCCCACGAGTTTGGCGTAGCTGTAAATGGCTTTTCGATCTTGAACTGCATACTTCCAATTAGTATCCATCGCCTGTTCGATGTATGATGTGCACCACCTCTTCGAAAACCGTCCAAATGGTCACTTACTTTCTCGCGAGTACCATTCACTGTGTAGTACATTTAAATTACATTTATTATTATACTGCCTTAAATATATTACTTGTTTTGAAAAGTCTCAAATTAAAGGCGAAAATGCGATTTTGATGAGAAAGTTTGTTAGAGAAACCATCTTCCTCTTATCTTCCCATTGATGTAGTTTTCTGCGATCAGATACGTTTTCTCTTCGTATACATGGTGGATAGGAGGCTGTACTATTCCCATCCCTAAGCGCATGCTGCGTTCGATCTGTGTTTGCAAATAAGGAATGAAACAGATTGCTTTCTAAGTGTTGCAGAAATTTTAAAAATACAGACAGTGGATATTCTTGGCAAAGAGATTGAAAGAGAACGGGGGCCTGAAACGAGGGTCCTAACATGTCTTTCTGCAAATGATATTTGAGCTGTTCCCCTGTCTTCTGTACGGTCCGTTTATTTCCCTTATCTATTTCGTAGTCGGACTTAGTTTGGTACATGTCCTACTTTTCCCAAAAACTGCATTTATCCTCAAACGTTTGAGATTTTCATGAAAATTTTGTGGCATTTTAGCGCGTATTATACATCCTTTCAGTCATTCTTTCCAGGAGCAAACATGGCACCGAACGCGTGGCAGCGGCGTGGATAGCATCTTTAGCAGCGGAAGCTGCATTAGAGAAAGCAGCAATAGTGGCAGTGCAGCGAATGGCAGTAACGATCATACAGATTCAAGCAGTATCGGAAGACGACGATATGTGGCAAGCAAGGAGCAGCATCCGATGCCATGGTACCATGGTAATATCACACGTGAACAGACTGAGAAGTAGGTTTTTTTCGGCCAAGAACTTACTCCGTGCTAGATTTCTTCAGTAAATGGTCAGCGCACCGACTGCTGGTGCGAAGATGCGTTTTTTGCATAGTTTCCCGCTGATTTTTGTCGCTAATGGCACCGGTTTTTCCGAAAGATGCTTTTAGCTAAAAGAATAGAGGAACTGCATGCCAGGACTGTCAGTAAGCGTCTTTTTAAAATTTCAGCTTTCGAACTTTCCCGGCCCCCGACTTAGCATCTTACCCGAAAAAAAGACTTCCACGGGCCCTTACGTAGGAATCACGCATACCCGAGAGCTGGGTTTGAACTCATTAAAACTTGCATGGACGTGGAACATCCTCTTAAAATTTCAATCTTCTAGCTTTTCAAATTCTCGAG